AGTTTCCAAGACTGTAAATCTTTACGGACTGCCACATCTTTCTTCCCTGGAGGGGCTAATGGGTTTCGAACTGCTGACCTTTAGGTTAGCAGGCGAGTGCTTTTAAGCACTGTGCCACCAGGGTTCCTCAAGAAGTGTGTCAGTTGATTAACAAAAGAAAAAACGTGGGGGCATTACAGATAGCAAGAACTGCACTGTTGAAAAGTATGGAATTAATAATAAATAGCTCCCATTGAATGAATGCTTACCCTATGCGCAGAATTTTGTCCTCACAACAACCCGTGGAAGTAGATGTTATTATCCCTATGCACAAAAAAGGGTGTGCGCTAATCATAAAACTATTGATTGGCAGGGATAGATTTGAAAGTGGGGTTGTCAGATTCCAAAGCCAAGGCTCTGGTTCCAACATGTACAAGTATGAAGTACTGAACAGGTATGAAGTAGCACGGTGCTGTTGGAAGAGGGAAATGGCCAGCGATGAAGCCGGAAATATAGGCACTCACTCTCGCTCTCTTTACTGTGGAGCAACTTGGGCAAAGGACGATTGGACTGGAAATTGAGGTATCAATATAAATCCATGATTCCGAATAAATATGTGTGTGTGTATCTCTATCCCAGCTCTCTCTACTGAGAAGGCCTAGACGAGAAGCAATGACACACCAGGCCATGTTCAACGATGGGTCAACAAGGCTTCTGGTATGCTCCCGCCCTCCCAGCTGGCTTCTCCGCCACATTCCATCGCCACCTCGCGGCAGATCTGGTGCCCTTCACCTGCCTCCGCCTTGTGCACAGTGCAGCGACACCCTCAGCTCCTGCGACGCCTTCGGGAGAAGGCCACTGCACCCACCACATCGGCCGCCATTAACTCCCCAGGAACGCCGGGAACCGGACGCAGAGCGGAAGAACCCCTGTGGGCGGTGCCCGTGACCGCAGAACTGAAGCCCGGAGCGGCGGGCGGGGCCTTGGCGCTGCCCCGTTTCTCATTGGAGCTTATCGCTGCCAGTCGCGGCCTCCGTCCCCGCCCTCTCCCAGCCAGCCGTCAGATAAATGGCGGGCGGGGCGGGGCGGCGACTTCCGGTTGGGAGAAGAAAGTTGGGCCGAAGGAAGGGCCGCGAAGAGGGAGGAGGAGGAAGAGGAAAGGCCGGGCGGCGGTGGCTGTAGGTTGTGCGGCGACGGCAGCTCTCCCCCGGGCGGACGATGGACAGCCAAGGCAGGAAGGTGGTGGTGTGCGACAACGGCACTGGGGTAAGCGCCCGGAGGGGAGGCCGCGGCGGGCACAGGCGTCGGAGGGATGTGCGGGGGGGGTACGCGGGCCCTTAGTGCCCGGGGCCCGCCTCTGGGCCTGGCCTGGCAGGGCGAAGGGGCGCGGGCCGACGCTTCCCGCCTCCGCGGACTTGAGGAGCGGGCGGGCCGAGCCCTCTTTTCCTTGGAGCCCGCCACCTCTACAGCCCTCCTTGTCAGGGCGGTGGGCGAGGCCAGCGGTGGACTGGGATCCCACCTGCTGCC